GCCAATCCCATGCAAGGGACTGGCCTGGAGGGCGGTGTATGGTTTGGAAGCGAAGTCAACACAAGTGGTGAATGGGGCAGACTTGAATGTTCCAGATGAGTAACTGGGAGGTAAGCTTTCACAGGAAGATCGGGCTGGGTATTGGGTCTTTGGCAACTACACCTGTCCCGCAGGGTCCTCCAGTCAGGACGCGCTCCGCTGACAGCGGAGAAGACGCCGTGGTGCTCCCATCGAGCACATTGCTAGAATTTGCCCAGAAGTATTTTCGAGACCCTCGGAGGCGTCCCCGGTGAGTAGTGATTCATCTCCGTGTTGCCTTGAATTCAGTCTGTAGGGCTCCCAGCCCCACTTCTGGCGGGTGGATCCGGAGACTCCTTAGTCTCAGCCTCTGGGTGCCCTCCTGCCGGTAGAACGGGGGCAAAGATGTGGCCAAGGGCTGGGAGGTAGGACTGGGTAGTGGCGTCCATCTGTTGCAGGGACGGCCTCAAGCTGAAGTCTAAGGAGGACCAGGAATCCAAAACTCTGGAGGACATGCTTTGCTTCACTAAGGTGCATGACTGTGCCTCAGTTTCCTGTTTTGTGAAGTGGTGATGCAGAAATCCTTTTTCTGTCCCCTGGAGCAAATGCTTGTGCCCATGGAAAGCCTCTGGCTCTCAGCATACAGAGCCAAGGCCCCTGCAGCACAGTGTCTGTTCCTATTTTGCGACGGGGGCCCTCCTGTCATAATATAGCCTGAAAGCACGGTGCAGTCCTCTTCTGTTCTACCGAGTCCCAGCTCCATCGTGATACAACCCCTTGGTCTCCTCACAGGCCCCAATTCAGGAATCCCTCATTGAACTCAGTGACAACAATCTCAACAAGATGGCAGTTGACATGTTCCTAGGTGTGTTGGATGCAGCACTGTGTAGCCCATGTTTATTACCGTTCTTCTCAGCACTGTGTAACCTGTGTTCGTTACCGCTCTTCTCTGGTTCTGGGTTTTCTCTTCCCCAAATCTGAGACACTTTGAAGAAAATGGAAGCCTCCAACTGTCTCAGCTGCAGCCTCTCAGAGAGAAAATGGACCTGTGGGCCTCTTGGGATGGGCAGCGGGGGCATGATGGTCCTGAGCAGGATGGGTCTTTCCTACAGCTGTGATGAGGTTCATGGGAGATGCTCCACTGAAGGGCCAGAATGAACTGGATGTGCTCTGCACACTCCTGAAGGTCAGTCCTGAAGCATGAGCCTCATGCTGCCTTCTTGCTCTGTGCCTTGGTTTCCCCATCTGCCGGTTATAGAGCAGTGGGAGACCTCTCATGCTGCCCAGAGAGGAATGAATTCACCCTGCTGGTAAACGGAGGGCTGAGAGCTTTCTGACCTGGCAGTGGTCTGGCCTGCCTTTTTACAGTTTTGTGGAGATCACGAGGTCATGCGAGACGAATGCTACTGCCAGATTGTGAAGCAGATCACAGACAACACCAGCTCCAAGCAGTAAGTCACCTCCCGACCCACTGTGCCCACACTCCCCCATCCCAGAACTTCTCCCTCCCCAGCCTCGCTCCACTCACCTTTGTCCCTGCTTTATGTTTTGGGAATTGTTTGGTCTGGAGCATGCCTTTCTGCCCTTTCTTCCTCTATGAAAGAGGCAACGCAACAATAATGTTTATGTTCAGATTCTTGGCTGCATGTTACAGAAATCCAGCTCAGAGTGGTTTTAGCAAAAGTGAGACCCTGCTGGTTAAGTAGCTGAAATTCAGTCAGGATGTGCTTTCAGGCACAGTTGGGTCCAGATACCATTAGCAAGCTTTCAGGAACGGGGGATGTAGCCAAGAGGTTAAGAATGCTTGCTGGGCAATGGTAGTGCACACCTTTAATCCTAGCACTCACGAGGCAGAGGAAGGCAAATCTCTGTGAGTTCGAGGCCAGTCTAGTCTACGATAGCTAGTTCCAGAACAGCTAGGACTATTACACAGAGAAACCCTATCTTGAAAACTAAACAAACAAACAGAAAAGAATGCTTGCTGCCTTCCCAGAGGAATTAAGTTCAGTTCCCAGCACCCATGCCTGTGACTCCAGTTCCAGGAGATCCAGCTCTATCTTCTGGCCTCTGCTAGCACCTGTATTCATGTGCACACACCCACACACAGGCATGCCCAAATACAAAGAATAATAATTACAAATATTAGAAACACAGCAAGCTTCCCTCATCCTCTCGTCCTGCTTTTCTTCTAGACCGATAGCATTCCCATACAGTCTCTCTCACAGTTAGCAAACTGACAGCTTTAGGGAACATGTTTTTAGCTCAGAAATCACTAGAAAATACCAGACTCAATTTGCTACAAGGATTCTCAAATCTAAAAAGGGGCACTTGTGGGAGTTCTCTTGCCAATGTGGCCACATTGACTAAGATTCCTCTTTTCTGATTTCCCCATTACTTGTTCAGATGGCCTGCTGAGAGGGTGGCTGAGCCTAACAACTGCAGTAGCAATTTTGTCAAGTCCTGGCCAGAACATTTTTTTTTAAATGTCATTCACTCAAGCAAGTGGACCCTGGATAGGAGAGGAAAGATCAGAAAGTCCCACGCAAGTCCTATATTCCAGGACTTTCTAATCTTCAACTTCGGTTGCTTTTTAGCTCTACTAGGTAAGGCAGAGAAATAAGTGAACTTCATTTCGAATTTTAAAGAAACTTTAGGGACTGGAGAGATGGCTCAGTGGTTAAGAGCATTGCCTGCTCTTCCAAAGGTCCTGAGTTCAATTCCCAGCAACCACATGGTGGCTCACAACCATCTGTGGTGAGGTCTAGTGCCCTCTTCTGGCCTTCAGGCATACATGCAGAAAGGATATTGTATACACAATAAATAAATAAATAAATATTTAAAAAAAAAAAAGAAGAAAGAAACTTTACCCTTGAAGTCCAGCTTGGAAAGACGAACACGTTTAGTGGTAGGGTGGTAGCCATGATGGTGCATGCGTACAATAGTGTTATGTGCAGCGGTTAGAGGAAAACCCATGAGAGTTGGGTGTCCCTTCTACCACGGGGGTCCCCAGGATTGACCTCAGATCGCCCCGCTTATGGAAGTACCTTTACCCTAGGAACCATTTCTCCAGCCCCTGAAGTATACAACTTCTGACGAAAAGAACCTGTGCAAAACCTGGGTGTGGTGGCCTGTTGGTTATCCCAGTGCTCAGTGCTCAGGAGTGCGAGTCGGAGGATCAGGAGTTCACAGTCGTCCTTGGCTACGGACTGAGTTCAAAGCCAGCCTGGGTTACCTGAGACTGTCTCAAAACAAAGTGACAGTGGGAGGTGGGGGACGACAGTAAGATGACTCAGATGGCAAAGATGCTTGCCCCAAACCTGGCAGCCTGGCTTTAATCCCTGGAACCCACATGGGAGAAGGGAGAACTGACTCCTGCAAGTTGTCCTCTGCCCTTCATATATGTGCAAGGGCATGCACACACTTGCGGGAGGGAATGTAAAATCAAAGAACACACACAGCACTCTTGAGGCGCTGACGTACCCAGGACGGACAATGGACCCCAGCTACACCTGGCCTAAGAGCTACTCTTTTCATATCTTTTTGTTTTTTAAGACAGGGGTTTCTCTGTGTAGCCCTGGCTGTCCTGGAACTCACTCTGTAGACCAGGCTGGCCTCGAACTCACAGAGATCGGCCTGCCTCTGCCTCCTGAGTGCTGGGAGTAAGGGTGTGCACCACCACCGCCTGGCCTTTTTATACTTCTTAGCTGCTTAAAATTCTCCATAAAGGGTCTGACTGGCACTAACTCCTTGACATTTGTCATTTGCCATGTCCCCAAATGAGGGATCTGATCAGAACCACTGAGACAGAGCTGTCATTCCCACAATAAGGGACAGTTATTGTGGGAATGACACCAGAGGGTTAATGAGATGAGAATGTTGTTCAGATGGGGGTGGCTGTAGAGGTTGAAATAAAACCACACTGGGCACAGTGGCCCTTGCCTGTAATCTCAGCACATCGGAAACTGAAGCAGAAGGATTTTATATTTGAGGTCACCCTGGGCTTCATAACAAGATATTCTCTCTCTCTCTCTCTCTCTCTCTCTCTCTCTCTCTCTCTCTCGTGTGTGTGTGTGGTGTGTGTGTGTGTGTGTGTGTGTGTGTGTGTGTGTGTGTGTGTATGCTCACCTGTGCATGCATACACGGAGGTCAGAAGTTGACTCTCTCTAGTTTTTCCTCTATTGTTCTTCATCTATCTTCCTTCCTCCCTCCCCCTTCTTTTCTTCTTTTTTCCTTCCTTCCTTCCTTTCATCCATCCTTTCTTGAGACAGTTCCTCACACTGAACCAAGTTCTCACTGTTTTAGCCAGTAAGTTCCAGGTACATCTACCTGTATCCATCCCCTAGATAGTGGCCAGCGTTAAGCTTCCTGGAGCAGGGATTACCCTGGGTGTGAGTGCAAGGAAAGGATTTCATTTCCTGATGCTCAGGACTAAAGGTCCAGAAGTGGGGTTTGTGGCAGAGGTGGGCGAGAGCTCAGAATCCTGGGATAGGGCTTCACACTGGGGTTGCTGGCCCATGCTGCCATGGCCAGCTTTACCTTGGTGCTGGGGATCCAGACTCAGGTTCTGATGCTTGCAGAACAAGCTCTTTACCACATATCATCTTCCCAGCCTGAGGAATGGTCCTGATGGGGCAAGCAAGATGGCTCAGTGAGCGAAGGACTTGTGAGGTGCTTGCTTGCTTGTTCTGCAATCCTGACAACCCGAGTTCATTTCCTAGAGCCCATGCAGAAGTGGAAGAAGAGAACTGACCTCACACACTGTCCCATGGCCTCCATATGCTCTCCATGGTATATCCGTACCCACACATGCACGTCATGCATACACAATCTCTAAAAAGAGGAAAGAAATGATTCTTACACACGGCTGCCCAACACTGACTGAATATCTTTTAACCCTAGTTCCTACTTGTATTCTGGTTATGATAGTTGCTTCAGTCATGGACATGAGATGTAAAAACAAAGAATGGAATGCTCGTTTTTGCAACATATATGTGTGTGTGTTCCATACTAAAATTGGAATGATGCAGAGAAGATTAGCATAACCTCTGCATAAGAATGACATTCAAATTTATGAAGTATTCCATACTTAAAAAGAAAGAAAGAAAACCAGACTGGGGAATTATAACTGCTGTGAATGAAATCCCTCCCCTTTATCTATCAGACTGCTGAAACAATGGATGAGATTCTGGAATTTCTCTAGGAATCTCATGCTGGAGAAAGAGCAAGCTATAGCTTGATATCAGCCAGAGGGAAAAAGTGCCTCTCAGAAGGAGATGCCATAGTCCTAACAACTTGTCAGGTCAGGCCACCTTGCAAGACAACAGGGCCTGAGACAATCATGGATCGGACACCTGATCAGGATTGCATCTCTGGCCTTCTATTTAAACCCAAACCTCATGCCCGGACTCCTCTAGTCCTCTTCTCAAATGTGGTCACGTTGGAAAAAAATGTATTTATCTGCTTTTCAAAAGAAACACCCAAATCCAGCTATATTGGCCTCAACTGGTCTCATGTTCATTCTCGAACCAACCATGATGGCTCAAGACACAGGTCTTGACCGGTTTGGATCTGAACTTTAACTGACCAGTCTTGGATCCTGTGTCCATCTCTAAGCCACCTATGACGTGACCCCTGTGTGCTTCCAGGGACAGCTGTCAGCGAGGCTGGAGGCTGCTGTACATCATGGCTGCCTACTACGGCTGCTCTGAGGTCTTCTATCCATACCTCCTTCGCTTCCTTCAACATGTGAGCCGGACTCCAGGACTGCCCTTCCAAGGTGAGACGGTGTGAGTGGGGACACCCACACGGAGGGACAGGGCAATCATCCACGGGCTGGCCAAACCAGAGAGTCTGGCCCTTGGGAGGTGCCGAGGCAGTATGAATGGATACAAATGGCTCTGCAGACTTTCATGGCTATCCCAAGGGGGTTGGTGCAGGGGCTTCTCTGATCTCATGTGGGTGTGTCCCGGGAAGGTTTCCTGGAGTAGGAATTGCCCTGGGTAGGGATTGCACAGAAAGAATTTTCAGGTGGACTTTGCAGAAGTCAAGACCCAGAAATGGAGAGCATGACATATAGAGAAATGGAGGAGGTGGGCGAGAACCTAGAACACCAAAGTGGGACCCTGCTTCTACTCCTCCAGGGTCTTTAGTGGTCTACAGCTGGTAGCACCATCTCTGCTTTATTTCCGCAGTAATGGAAAAGGGACTGCTTCTAGCCTTGTTTCCATAGCAACTCTACAGCAGAGACAAGGCATGGTGATGTATCTCAGCACTCAGGAAACTAAGGCAGGAAAATTAGGGGCCCCAGGGCAGCTTGGGATACATACTGTACATGTTGTCACTTCTGCTGCTATGATAAAACACTATGACCGAAACCAACTGTGGGAAGCAAATGGGTTTATTTCATTTTATAGCTTACAGACCACCATGAAGGGAAGCCAGGGCAGGAACTCAAGGCAGGAACCTGGAGACAGAAGCTGAAGTAGTGTCATGGCGGCTTGCTTTTGTTTGTTTGTTTTTGTTTTGTTTTGTTTCGTTTTTTTGAGACAGGGTTTCTCTGTAGCTTTGGAGCCTATCCTGGAACTAGCTCTTGTAGACCAGGCTGGCCTCGAATTTAAAAGAGATCAACCTGCCTCTGCCTCCCAAGTGCTGGGATTAAAGGCGTGGGCTTTTTTTTTTTTTGTAAAGATTTGATTTCTTGGTGTAGTCCCAACTGTCCTGGAACTCCCTCTGTAGACCAGGCTAACCTTGAACTCAGAGACCTTCTTGCCTCTGTTTCCTGAAATGCTGTGACTAAAGGCATGTGCCACCACTGCCCAGCTTTCAGTCACCTTTTTTATACCTCCCAGGACTACTTGGCCATGGGTGGGACCAACTGCAGTGGGCAAGGTCTTCTCACACCAATCGTTACTCAGGAAAATGCCCATTGTAGTTGGAATTTTCTTTGGACCACCAACAAGCTCCCAAATGAAAATGCAGAGACTTATTACTAATTATGAATGCTTGGCCTTAGCTTAGGCTTGTCCCACTCGCTCTTTTAACTTAACCGGTTTCTATCCCTCTACGTTTTGCCTTAGAGCTTTTTACCTTTCTTATATTCTGTATGTCCTGCTTTTCTGCTTTCTACGTGTCTGGCTGGCTGGCCCCTAGCATCTCCCTGGCATCTCTTTTTCTTTCTTTTCCTTTGAGCCTAATTCTTTCTCCTACTTACTCTCCCTGCCTGGAAGTCCTACCTATCCTTCTTCCCTATTGGCCATTCAGCTTTTTATTAGACCAATCAGGTGACTTAGGCAGGCAAGGTAAAACAGCAACACATCTTTACATAATTAAACAAATGCAACACATCTTTACATAGTGAGACAAATATTCCATAACACCACATAGATATCTCCACAGGCCAAAATGGTGGAGCCCTTCCTCAGCTGAGGTTTCCTATTCTTGGTGTCTATAGTGTGTGTCAAGTTGACAAAAAATAATGAGTACATGAACTGAGATCCTATCTTCAAAAAGTAGATGGAACAGGACCCTTTAATCAATTAGAGTGATTGTAGCCATAGAGGACATAAGGGAGCCCTTCCCCCTGATCTCCCTCTGATTATTAGCTTATGTGGCTAACTAGGGAAGGGCTAGATGGGAGATGACTGAAGAATGTGCCCAAGAAGTCCTGACTCCATCCGTGGACAGGGAAAGTATACTGCTTAGCTTAGATGCATGGAACACAGATGGTGGGGGTCACGGTCTTATGATGCACAGTGAGACAGGGCACTTGACATGCAGTCCCAGTTGAGAGAGACTGGGCACCATCATGTCATCTGTTGAACCAGCTGAGGATGAGCAATCTAGTCAACAGCTAAGGAGCATAGCTATCTCTAGGTCCATACAAAGCCAAGGGCAAGACAAGTTTATAACCCCATGAAGCATAGGTTTGCATTCTGCTCTTACACTTCAGGTCTTCATCTTGGTGAATCATGTTGAAATCATGTTCCTCAACAAGACCTATTCCTTGTTGAAGGAATGCAGGGGGCTCATGGCTTGGGTAGGAGAAGCCTTTTCCATCTTTGGCCAATCTTGAGCAAGGCCTCAGCTCTCTGCCTCTACAGGGATTGCCAAGGCCTGTGAACAGAACCTGCAGAAGACCTTGCGTTTCGGGGGCCGCCTGGAGCTCCCCAGTAGTATGGAACTTCGAGCTATGCTGGTGAGCCTACAGCAGGGCTGGGGTCAAGATGAGTGGGAGGCATGAGCTCTGCCCAGAACCCTTTGCTAGGTGCACATGCGCTACATGGTGTGTGGGGATGGCTCCTGTCAATCCCTGTGCATAACATCTCCTGCCCAGACATCCCTCTGGATATGGGAACCTCCATGGGGGTGACAGGGTCCAGGCTTTCAACTTTCTTCTGCTTATCTACCCTAGGCAGGCCGAAGTTCCAAGAGGCAGCTCTTTCTTCTTCCAGGAGGTCTTGAACGCCATCTGAAAATCAAAACATGCACTGTAAGTGAAGAGCATCTCAACAAGATGGTGCTGGAAGGGTAGGGATGCCAGGCTCTGGGTTGGATAAAGAGAGCATCAGTGGTCCAGAGACTCTCACACAGACCCAGGAGATAGGGCTTGAGGTTAATTGCTCCTCCACTACTGTGGGCTCAGCATCTGCAGTTGGAAATATTTGGGAAAAGTCACATTGGAACAGATTCTTTTCTTGCCTTTCTCTGAACAATACCGTATGACAATGTCCAACAACAGTCTACTGTGTTTGGTACCATCAGTCAGAGATTGAGAGTCTAAGGAGGATACACGGTGGGTCACATACAAATAACTATACAATTTTAAGTAATGGGCTTGGTTTCTCAGGAATTTGGTTCTGCAGGGGCTCTTGCAATAGGTATCTTATAGATACTGAGTGGGCAACAGCAAACTGAGACTTCAAGAAGCCATGAGTCACACAGCCCAGAGTCACACAGAGAATGTAAAAAGCCAAATCAAGGGCCAGTTCTGAAAGCTGTGCTCTGTCAGGTTGAGTCACGGGGTTCTGTGCCTCTTCGCTAGTGGCTGGGGACCAGCCTTTCCCCTCTGGCCTTCCCAGGTGGCTCTGGATGTGATAGAGGGGCTCTGCACCGAGATGGCCCTGACGCGTCCTGAAGCCTTTGATGAGTATGTCATTTTTGTTGTCACCAGCCGAGGTAAGTAGCCAGGAGGACTGAACGTTCTAGGCTCCCTCATGGCCCAGCCCCAGCTTTTGCCGTGGGGCTTCTTTCCCCTGTCCCGATGGCCAGGCCAAAGGTCACTTTCTCTGAAACCTTTAACCTCCCTGAGAGAGGACCTCTGTGTACACTGAGCTCTCTCCCCAAGCCGTTTGCTTCTCCCACTTTGTTATGTTTTGTACAAGTCTTTTTCCCCTTTAGATTGGGGTTCATGGAAGAGAGAGCCTTGAGCCCTGCTTTGCTCTCTCAGGGCCTCCTCAATCAGAAAAGCTGCTCTCTAGTCCCTTACGCTTGGGGAAAGTTTCATCCATAAAACCAGACTCCTGAAACCCACATAGGAGCACTTGCTCCCACTCTCCAGCCCTCCACGTAGTACGTAAGCCCCCCTAAGGTCTCCTAAGGTCTTTCGGGGGCCTCTGGGTACACAGGGAACCTCATACAGTCCCAAACCCCTGCAGTTTGCTCCATGCCCACTTTAGGCTAGTTTTTCCTTCCACCAACTGTAGTCACAGCCATCTCTGGTTATTCCTTCACGAGTGCCTCAGCCTTCTTACCCCAGGTCCAGCTAGGACAGAGGGGAAGGGGATGGAGGGAACAGCAAACATTTATTGAACATATAGTAGACATGATTCAAAGCATCTAATGGTATAAACACCCGTGGTTGTGTGTTTGGTTTTCTGAGAGGGGATATACTGGGAATCAACCCCAGAGTCTCATGCAAGTTGTCTATGACTGAGACATGCTCCCACCCCAGACACTAATGTTATAACTTTTTTTTTTTTGGTTTTTCGACATAGGGTTTCTCTGTGAAACAGTCCTGGCTGTCCTAGAACTCACTCTGTAGACCAGACTGGCCTGGAACTCACAGAGATCCACCTGCCTCTGCCTCCCAAGT